AAAAAAAAAATAAAAAAAATAAACAGTCATTTATTAGACCAAATTATATCTGAGTTAAAGCAGACACCTGTGGTCCTGGGCTCATAACTCTCTAGGAAAATCTGGAAGAATTATTTTGCCAGGTGGTTTATTACCAAAGTAATATTGGTAATAAGCTGTTTATACATTATAGTCATGCAGATAAGTGCAGATTAGGTTACATTACACAAAGAGGCTGCCGCAGGTCAACTGCTGAACAAGAACTATGACATGTTTTTATAAGATGGACAGAGAGTATGTACTAGCGTAAGCAGTGATGAGAATTACACAGTAATGCTGGAAGTCAGGGCCGTGAGTCCTAAGAGGACAGAACTAGGGAAAACCTCCCACGTTCTAGGAATGGGATTAGAGACATGAATTCCTCCTTTCCAGACACAAATAGATTCTAAGCAAGACAGTGTTTGTTCAAAAGACGTAACTTAAAAAAAAAGAAAATTTCAAAGCAATTACATTTTCCCAGCTTCTCTGTACAATAAGCTTCACTAAGCTATTAAGTTTATCTCTTGGGCAATATGAAGTTTCCTTTTTTTGGTCTTTTTTAAAGATTTTATTTTTTCGTAATCTCAACATCCAATGTGGGGCTCGAATCCACGACTCTGAGATCAAGAGCTGCATGCTCCACGGACCGAGCCTTCCAGGCGCCCTGACAGTAAGAAGTTTTCTAACGCAAAACAATTTCCTATTTTCATTTTCTCTTCATGGAAGTTAGAGTCCTTTGTCTCTTGTTGTTTCAAATGCTTTCAAGTATTCCTTTAGTGGCACAAGTTCTAAAACCAGGGCTAGAGAGACAACTGATGCTATTTTATAAAACGCTCTCAGTTTGAGGTAAAACAAACAATACCAAATTTACAGACTTTTTCTTAAAAGCATACTGCATCTAAACCCTGTAAAGTGAATTTAGATTCATTTTCTACTGCAGAGAAATTAAAGTGATTCTGATGATTTCCCCAATCAGAAATAGTGTGCAACGGGCTCTGATTGAGATCACGGGCAGCACCAGGGTCCCTCCCCGCTCCTGTCTACTCCGTGGCACATTCTCTCAGGGTCCTTTTTAATGAGGATTCCTGGGAAAAGACACTGTCCAGTCCTGGTATCAAGAATAGTTGTACTATCATTTACTTTCAGCACTGGCCACTAGAAAACTTCTGGCAGCAAGCTTAAACATAATACTTAACCACAAAAGAGCTAGAACAATTACTGAACTGTTTCTTTCCCTTGCTGCTAAAGTCAGGCTATGTTTACTTTGATTGGTTAAAAAGGTCAAAAAGTATGTACTTAAGGACGTGGATTATTTTAAGTGTTTTCCTATTCATCTCTACGTGTATAGGCTTACAGAAACTAAGAACTTCAAGCAGCTACAGTCCTTGTCCCACTTCTAGGTCCTCCTCACCTTTCCCGGGGGCCCTTCATGCAGGGTGGTGGGCCGAGAAGCACTCTGAAGCCAGAGCCAGGAGAGGAAGGTTCTAGCCTCAGCTCTGCTTCCAACTAGCTCTGCAACTTTCTCTTTGGGCCTCAGTCCCCTTCTCTGGAAATGAGGCCGTTGGGCTGGATAATCTTGAAGGTTCTTCCTCTAGAATAGGCCCTGTCTTCATTACAGAAGGCTGTTTTAGAGACAGTGGGAATGCCCCTGCCTTCCAGTCCTCTGATTCGGGCCAGGAGTCCCCTAGTCCACCGTGATCCCTGTGGCCAAGGCTCACCTGCTTTCATGGCCTTCTGCCACTGTCATCAAAATTTTCTAGAAATTTCACGTGGGACCAGTTCCTGGGCACGGGGTTCTTTGACACTTTCTGTCCATGGGAACCCATCCTCCCCCACGGTGGCTCAGCAGTAGGCGGTGGGCCAAACAGCAGCTGAGGCATGCTACAGCCAGCAGAGGCTTTCTTACCAAAGAGCTCGATGTAGACCTCCTGAAGCGTATGCACACTGCAGAACTGGTTCAGCTCGTGATGGATCTTGTTGAAGATGAGGGCCTTGTCGTAGTCGGCAGTGTAGTTCTTCACGATGTCATACACTGGGAGGGAAGGCGGGATCGCAGAGTCAGAAAAGGCAGGACTCCCTTTCTCAGACACAGTGGCTCTCCCAGCCTGAGGTGCTGCGACAGACCTGGGGTGGGGGTGGGGGTGGGGGGACATGCTGGGCAAAGTAAGCCGGTGGTGAAGGTCAACTGGAAAAACGTACCTGCATTTGGGACCAAGAAGTTCACCACTTCAATTCGGTCAAAGTAGATCATCACACCACCACTGTTGGGGGAAGAAAGAACAAAGAAGTCACCAGTCTGCTCTGGAATATAGTGCTGTCTCTCGGTGATGGCATCAGGTGTGTGACTTGGCAGAAAAGGAGCAGAGGAGTTCACGGGAGGCCAGAGGGCATGATATCTCCAAGCAGGAATCTTCAGAGCTTAGAGCAAGAACACAATCTCCCGAGAAACCACACCTCCTCAAGATATCTCCATAAGGAGAAAAGTGAAACTTCTGGGTGGCAGGAAGAAAAGAATAGTTCATATCTGTTGAATCTGCAATGCCTTTTGATTAAAACAGTCCATTGAAGGGAAAAGAAAAGTCAAGGAATTCTCAGAACTTAGAAGGCCACAGTGGGATCTTATGGTCACCGTTTCTCACTTTGTCTTCACCATCACTTTGTTTCAGCATTTTCCTTTCCCCACAAATATTCATTATAAATAATTCTAAGCACACAAAAACACTGAAATAATACAACTAACATCCGTACATAAACACCTAAATTTAGCAATTGTTAACAGTTCACCTTATAGATTGATCTGCTTTTTTACGCTGAGCATTCCAAAAGTAAGTTGCAGTCATGATACTGTTTCTCCCTTAACACGTTAGTAAGTAACATCACTGAGGAATAATGACATTCTATGTAGTCTGGCTCCATTCCCAAACCTAAGAAAATTAGCAAATAATTCCTTAACAGCCTCTAATACCCAGTCCTTATTCCAATTTCCCCAGTTGTTCCTGTTATGGACTGAACGGTGTGCTTTCCAAAAATCCATTTGCTGAAACTCTAAAACCCCCTTGTGACTGTATTGAGATAGGGCCGTAAGGTGGTAATTAAGGCTCCATGAGGTCATAGGGGTGGGGCCCCAACCTGACGGGCTTGGTAAAGGAACAGAGGCAGACACCAGAGATCTTCTCCCTGCGTGCACTGAGGAAAGGCCATGTGAGGACACGGCAAAGTCGCCATCTGCCATCGAGGAAAAGAGGCTTCACCAGAAACCAACCCTGCTGGCTCCTTGGACGCAGTCTGCTGTAGTCTCTATGGCCGCCCGAGTGGACTAATCCAGTTCCCCTGACTTTCATAGATGGTATTTTTGAACCAGGTTCTAATTAAGGCTCACCATGGCTTTGTTTATGTCTTTTAGGTCTCCTTTTCAACCCAAAGCTCCTCCTTGTGATGCCATCAGGCCAGCTGTCCTGTGCGATGCCCTAATTCTGGATTTGCCCACATATTTCCTCATGATGGTGGTCTGTGATTCTATTCCAGTTTAGACCTTCTTTACTTTTCCACCAGACCACTAGAGTGGTCTTCTGTTTGGATTTCCAGACCCTGAGGTCACCTCCTACCTTTATGACATTCTCCATAGCTGGTTATGCTAAATGTACCTTCCTCTACCAAGTCATTTATCTGCTGAAAGCTTTTAGTGGATCTTCACTTGTAACAGAAAAAGCCCACACTTAGCACAGCATTCAAGGCCCTCCTGAAGCTGTCTACCTTCTGTGATTTTCCCTACTGCACCGCATGGCCTAGTCAAATCAGAACTGAGGGAGCAAGGAGGTAGGGAACTTGGTAAAACCACCGAGAAGGAATGCCTCTCCTTTCACTGTCTCTAGGAGCCAGACAGCCCTTCCACTGACATAGGCTTAGCTGCTTCACTCCGGGTACCTTACCTAGTCCCGCAAGGCACGTTCTTCACCTCATCTGTCTGCAGTGTGGTCTAGAAATAAAGGGGACATAAAATGCTGTAAAATGGGCAGTGACAAGCACAGTAACTTAGTTTTGGAATCCCAAACTCCCAGTCCTTGAGGTTATCTGGGTTGAGCTTTGGCCTTGTTAAACATGAATACTCTGCCTGGGTGGCTCAGTCATTAAGTGTCTGCCTTCAGCTCAGGTCATGATCCCAGGGTCCTGGGATCAAGCCCCGCATCAGGCTCCCTGCTCCACGGGAAGCCTGCTTCTCCCTCTCCCACTCCCCCTGCTTGTGTTTCCTCTCTCGCTGTGTCTCTCTCTGTCAAATAAATAAAGAAATAAACTCTCAAGAACAAAACAAAACAAAACATGAATATTCCCCCTAATCCTCTTTATTTACACAGGGTGTGAGACTTAGATGAACAAAGGTACCTACCCCAGCTTCACTGTAAGTGAATCACCATATGAACAATCTAATAATGGTTTAGTAAAAAAGACCCTGGATTAGGAGTCTTAAGACCTGTCTTACCTCTACAGTCTTCCTTTACTAGTCTTGAAACAAGAGGATTCTGTATTTAACCTGGCCCTGCCCCTTCTCAGCATTCTGTGAGACTCCTATGGTCCTGGGCACAAATGCACTCAGAAAACCATCAAACACAGGAAATGGTAGAAGAAATGAACACGGAGAATGCTGAGGAGGTGTCCCAGTATATCTTCCTGGGTCAGTTTAAAAGTCATCCTCTAAATCTTATCCCTCTTGGCTGGACATACTTCAAAGACGGCTAGCTAGTCTATCTTAGCCAGGCTTTCTATCCGTTATAACTAATCCTACTCCTCCTTTAGATGTTATTTCCCTTCACCAAGTCCAACTTTCCTCTCCCCCCCAACCCCCCCCAAATTATGTTCACATCTATGAAGTTCAAATAAGAACCAGCAAAACTACCATGTTTTATTTCCATTTATCTTGGTAACCTGTGATTGAAAACACAGACACACACACCCTACTTTTCCTTCTGTACATTCGGAACAGATTCTTCTCTGGCTCTACCTTGAAGTGAAGAAATAATTCCCAGCTGGGGCCAATGGGCCAAGGCAATGACCCCATTCAACTCTTTCAACAATCAAATAAAGCTCTAGGGTATGTGGCTCATGGAGCCTCATTCTTTATATATACATTTAATACATCATATGTATATATGATTCCTTGAAGAGGCATTATACTCATCTAATGGGAAATAACTCCAAATTATGCGTTTGCCAACACCCCAAACCTGCAGTGGCCCAAACATGCCCCACAAGCCCAGTTTACCTGCACAGACTTATATGATGTGATGAAAGGAAGCATGAGATGGAAACCTGGGCCGCTGGTGGAAGTCAGGAGGGCTCCGCCCCTGTAGAAGAGAAAGAGGCAGTTCAGCAAGAGGTAACAACTGCAGCAATACTATTTGCACCGACCTTCTCTACGGCCCCATAAACATTTCATACAGAGTGAGACATGTGCCCGAGCCTGTCCACAGACCCCTTCCTCTCAGCTCAACCCTAATATTCTAGGAAGCCTGATGGTAAAACATAAAGCCATTATTCATGCTTTTGTGGCAGGAAAAACAGGCACATGGGCTAAGTGGAATTAAGACAGCAGGATCCCCGGCAATCCTTAACAGAAGAGGAAGTCTGTTTTACTTTGTCATACCCGTTGAGCTTGGCGCAATCCACGGGGGCAGTTAAATCCAGTAATACATTTATCAACTAACTGTACTAATGTTGGGAGTCCAGGGGCATGAACAACCAAAATAATAATTTTGAGAACGCTTTAAAAATCATTTACGTATCTTCTTTGGGCAGTAGTATTTTACCTTTAGAGCCAAGTTATATGTAAAGGGTAACAAAATTAAAAGCCTTTTTTGGGGACGTATGAGCAGAAGGTGGGGAGAAATAAAGGGGAGAGAGGAGCCCAATGAGACTTCTAGAACTTGCTATTGGCAATCCCGCAATAAGCATCTTGGGCACATATAAGAAGGAGTTTGTAAAAGACTTAAAGAAAAACCTTGGTTATGGAAGTTACTGAAAGGAAAGCAACCCAAGATTTATAAGTGCTTCCTTGCTTTGCATTATGAAGGAAAAATACATTATTTTTTTAAAAAATAGAGCAATAAAATAAACAGTGATGCAACGGGCTCCTTTCTTATAAGAACCGCTACTCTAGGGCTTGCCTTGATTGATATAGATCAATCTGCAGGATTCTTCTTTTTTCCTGAAATGTTAATTTTCAAGAGTGGGTAGCTCTTGAAATCAGCAGAGCAGGCTAGCTCCTCAAGTTGCCATCAAGAACTGGTGCTCATTGGAGGTAACCTTGTGGCGCCAAGATGCCCGGGAGGGATGTAGGAGAAAACAATGTTTCAGAGATGATCTGCAAGCACTGGTTTCCTTTAGATCTTGTCTCTAAATCTCTAGACGCATTTATCGTTCACCACCCATGGCATCAACTTAAGACTATTAAATTTTATATTTACATTTATATTGAGTGTGTGTGTGTATATGTCCCCTTCCATGGTCACTGACACCACAGCTCAATCTAAAAAGACTCCTCTAGGGGTGCCTGGGTGGCTCAGTCATTGGGCATCTGCCTTCGGCTCAGGTCATGATCTCAGGGTCCTGGGATCGAGTCCCGCATCGGGCTCCCTGCTCCGCAGGAAGCCTGTTTCTCCCTCTCCTACTCCCCCTGCTTGTGTTCCCTCTCTCGCTGTGTCTGTCAAAAAAGACTCCTCTATTCAATGGACAATAATCAACAGAATCTGCCAGACAGTAACTAGGAGAAAGAGACATTTAACAGGGAGTTGCAAGCTTCTGTCTCTTCCTTACCTGTAATACACCCCAATATGTCCCTCTTCTATCTTGTGCACGGCTGAGAAGAGAGATGCACAAAAGAAACTGGAAGCCACAGCCACAACTGCTCCCAACTGAGCCATCAGCGAACCTTTATCCTAGGGAAAAAGACGCAGGAAGACGTGTGTAGTCCGACGTGCAGGAGAAAAGCTATGACAGGGAGAGAACCTCACTAAGCTGAGCTCCCTACAAGTGGCTCAGGCCGAGCCTGTTGTACTATGAACACAAGGCTAGATCTACAACTCTCTTCATCCTTGTTCTCAGGCAACATTCCTACTCCTTCCTTAGCTGTGGGATCATATTCCCTACCTCCCAGAGGCAGTGGCTCCAGATACAGCCGGGCCCCAAGAGAGAACCAGTGCCAATTGGGCAGCGTTCAGAACACAGCCTTCTCTTCCTGTGAACACGAATGTGCTGTCACTGGAGTCACTCATACTAGTAAAAGGGAAGAGAGGCAGCTGCAGTATGTTGCCCAAATTACAGAGGATGTCAAATGACAGGCAGTTGTGGCTATGTAATTCTGGTCAGAGCCTCCCAGTCCTAATTGCCTGCCGTTTCAAAGGAAACCATTATTTACTCCTTTCAGATGCTGGAGAGACAGAGTCAGCATGTGAGCAGAGTTCACATGGTGGGATTCTCTGGCCTTTCGTCCACCTTCCCAGTTGTTCCTTTGGATCTAAACGGGGGAGGGCTCTGAATACACCCTCCCATACACTTGACTGGCACTTTGCACCTGACCGGTGCCCACGCCCATGGTTAGAGGAGAAAAAGGGTTCCCCAGGGTGGGAAGACCGGCACTT